AGTTAGAGTCAAGCTGCTGCTTCTTCTTCCCATTTCACTCTGTGTAAACCTCATGTTGGTTTAGAATGCACTTGTCTCTCTACTAGTTTGTGTATTCCTTGAGGGCAGGTGAGCTTCACTGATGAACTGCAGCAATTTTGTTCCATCATCTTTTCTTATTCTTATAACTTTGGTTTTGGCTATGACTCCAACCCTAGCCCCTGTGACAATCTCTCCTGAGGCACTGCATATTAGGAAATGGTTTGTCTTCACAGGACTTATTGGACCTGCTCTGTTATATTACTGCTGCCATGCCATTTTGCTTGTCTTCTGTCCATCTTGATGACCTGGAAGAGATAGCAAAGATCACACATGCTCTACTGGGCTTTGGTTCTCACAGCAGGGAACACATGTCTGAGACTAGTGGTCATGTGGGTGGGTGGCAAGGTGAGTCTTCTTGGGAGCTATGGAACAATGTTTGGACATGAAGTAGGATTTCAAAAGGGTGTGGCCCCAAGATTTACATTTATGAAGGCATTGTGACATATTCTGAAAGTTTATCTGCTGCCTTCATGCTGGAAAAACATAAGCACATTGGTTTAGTCTCTAAGAAGGAGAGTAATTAGATTTAGACCAGTCAGTATCTGCTTTTCCTTCTTGAAGCTGGAACCATTATAAGTTCTTGGGAGAAGAGAATTGAGTTGGACTTGACATTGAGGAAAGTGTGAAGGTAAGGATAATTTAACTAAGAAAACTTTTTTGAAATAGTTGAAATTTGGGAGATAATGTACTGGTATGGAATGATGGAGAACTTTAAAGCTACAAATGCTTGTATATATTTTGCTTTGAGTGTTCAAGCAAATGGTAAAGTGAAGTTCAAGAAATAGTTAAAATTTGTTTAGTGTATGGGGATTTATAAATGTGCCTTGAAAGGAGTCACTAAGATTTAGGAATACTTTATTTTGGTGGTGGCTCAAGATGAAATTTTAATTTAAGTTTCCCCCATGGCATTCATTTTATACTGAAGTAAGTATTTGGTTGAGATTCCACCAAGGAAACTGTAGGATCTCTTTCTGTGAGCTAGTTTGAGTTCTCTCCTCTTTTTGTGTGCAGGTCTGGTCTGTGGTTTATGTGGCTGTTAACACTGGGAATTAACACTTGACACCTAAGTTAGATCTTGGGATTTGTCCAATATTATCTCTAAGTATTAGAGTTTAAAAATATTTCCCTTTAGGGTGGTGGGTGAGTGTGTAAATTTGGAGGACAGTGAGAAAAGAAGAGGCCAACAAGGGTATCAGGAGTCATTGCTTGTCATTAGCCCAGAGGATGATGTTTGGTGTCATGAGGAGTAGAGGGTTTATTTATTTATTTTGTTTGGATTGGGGAGGAGTATGAATTTTTAGGATAAATTGCAGCTGGAAGCTGGTGACTGAATCTTGCAGCCCACCATTTCAGGCTTGAATGAACCACTTTCCCCATGACATTATTTTAAGTGGCAAGATCAGGCAAGGAAGATATTGAAGAAGGACTTTTTTTGTTTCCTATTCTGGTGATTTTTCTGAGGTTTCTGCTGGTTGTCTGACAAGTATGATTTGTTTTGTGGGTGAGAAAAGCCCTGTATTCTTCTTCCAAGGGGAATGTGTCTGCTCTTTGGATTTGGATTGAATCAAAGTCTGGACTACTGGACTTTTAAGAGCAGTAAATTGCAACCTCAGGTAATAGTAAAGCAGGGAACAAAAGATAGATTTATGGATAATGGTGTTCTAGGAGATCACAGTGAAGTGACATGTGAAGATCTGAGCAGTTTTTTCTTTCCACAATGGAAGTGAAAAAAAAAAAATGAATACCATTTTCATTGCCAGGAGCAACTGGGTCTTTTGGGTCGCTTAGCCAGGCAAATATAGCAAGCTTGCTTTGACTTCGTTTTGTTTGAGTTTTTTTAAACAGAGAACAATTGAGCAATCACGTTGTTTCAGATTAAAAGCCTTAAGATGCAGAAGTTCTGTAACTGAGGTAGGAGAAATGCCTCATTTCTTTCCCTACTCCGATCACCTCATATTCCTCTTCAAAAACTTTCATCTACTCCCCATTGCCTCCATATCGTGTCCCAGTGGCTATGCTGAGGTATATTGGTTCACTCAGCTTTTGGGGCAGCAGGAACCTATTATAATGTTGGTCATGGAGGTGGATCAGGAAGATTATTTGGCCAAAGCCGCACATTTCGGAAGGGCCCCAAATTTAAATTTTCATGTTAGCTCCAACATAGGCAGTATGTTTTGCATCTGTGGTGAAGGTATTTATTAGGTAAACCTAAACATTGAAAAGCAACCATGGTTTCTGTAACTCCGTTTTGGCATTTTCTTCCTTTTTTAATTTATCAGGGCATAAAAAAATGGAGGATAGCCCAGGCTCCTAACCTCTGAGGCCCCAATTGACCACTACATAGGCTCTCAATAGTGATGGACATAGAGGCTAATGAAGAGGACGGACCTTCAATAACTAATCACACAAAGAATTCATTAAAATAAGAACTGGGTACCTTGAGAAGGTAAAAGGGGGCCTTCTCTTTGGGCCATCAGGGAGGATTTCCCTAGGCAGATGAAATTGAAAGTGCAAGGGGAGTCAGCCAAATTTGGGGCAGGGGAGTGTTGATATAGGTCTTAATAATCAATTAGTTTTCAGAGACGAGGTGGCCTCTACGATGATTTTCATATTTTGAGTTCAGGCAAGTAAGTGAATGGTGGTGGTGTTAACAAAATCAATGACTAGGGGAAAATGATTTTCTGGTAGTGGGTGGGTAGATAACATGATTAGTTCAATTTGTGGGTATGTTGAGTATGAGTGAGCTTTGAGACAACAGAGTAGAGATGTTTTATAACTATATGATCTTTTAAGAAGGGCTTAGTTACTCTTGTTAATTTAGAACTTCATAGTGTATAAGATGCTATCCAGGTTCAATGGTGGGGGGGGTAGAAAGAACAGATTTATGGCCCCTGCTTTCAAGAAGCTTATTCTTTAAATGCAGTCAAGGAATTAAATAACTACAGAAGATTCCAGTAACCCTCTAAGACAATAGCAGGAGAAATGTTACAAGCAGTACATGAATGATTGCCAAGGGAAGTATATAGATGCTTGTTGCTTTTCAGCAGTAATTGTCCAAGTAGAATTTCTCATTTGATTTTACTTTTGTTCTACTTTGGTAGTTTGAGGTGGGTTGAGGATAACATGAGCTTGCTTAAAACTACTGTGGGTTATTTGCTTTGGACGAAACGCATTTTGATTTTAGGAGGTAGGTATTTTTCTTTGTCTCATTTTACAGAAGAGGAAAACAGAGGCACTGAGAAGTGAAATAATTTGCCCAAGTCACATAGCTAGTAAATAGTAGAGTTGGGATTCACATCTAGTCTACCTGAATCCAAAGCCCCTTCTCAGGTTTGAAAAATGCTGTTCTTTTCACTAAATATATCCCCTATCACTTAAGTTATTTGAAAACTTTATTTTAAGTGACTGCAAAAAATTTTCGATCATTCTTCTGATTTAAACAATATATCTTTTTAATTTGGTGCTTGTATTTCCAGTTATAACTTTAGGATAGTTCCTGGAAATGGGTTTCCTGTACCAAGGAATATAAAACCGTCAAGGCTTCTTAAAACATATCAAATTCTTCTCTAGAAACATACAAATAATTTACAGTCTGGATGTATTTTTCAATCCCACATAAAAGCATTTTCCAATACTATGTGGCTTCTTAAGCCAAGACAAACAGAAGAACTCAGTAACACTGTTACAGATGGTGGTTAGGATGATGAATCATAGAATGTTTGAGCAGAAAAGAACTTCAGGTGTCACCTAGGCCACCTCCTTCTTTTATTAAGAACTAAGGCTCAGAGAGGTTAAGGGACATGTCCCAAATCACAGCACTAATTAGGGTCAGAGTTAGGACAAGAATGGTCACTTAGCACTATGTGATATACAATTGACCCTTGAACAACATGGGAGCTAGGGGCGCCAAGCCCCTGCACAGTCGAAAACCCATGTATTACCCTTGACTCCCCCCAAACTGAACAACCAGTAACCTACTGTTGACTGGAAGCCTTACCGATACTATAAACAGTCACTTAACACATATTTTGTATGCTACATATATTATATACAGTATTATTACGACAAAGTAAGCTAGAGGAAAGAATATGTTATGAAGAAAATAGTAAGGAAGAGAAAATACATTTCCAGTACGTACTGCAAAAAAATCTGCATCTAAGTGGACCCAAGCAGTTCAACCCTGTGTTGTTCAAGAGTCAAACTATATTTAGTCAGATTCTATTTGAAGGTTTGGATGATTCAGGGATGTGCCAAAATGTCCACCTGGGGACTCGATTGAAAATTTAAGAGACTCTTACTGTTTGAGTTAACTTCACAGTTCCCCCTTGAAATTTCACAGTTGTGAAGGATGTGGAAGTCACCCAAAGTGGTCTCCCCTGAACTGAAATGCCCAGTACCCACTCAAGGAGATAAAGTCCTCTGCTGGGCCAGGGGAAACCTGAAATCTCCTTTATCAGTGCTCCTACATCTGGCCTACTGTGAGATTCATAAAGAGGATTCTGCATTCTCTTTTCATTATTCTGTTGATGGTACAGGACATTTGAACAAAGTGCTGCTCACATAATTCAAGACTGATTTTCTATAGCACTGACCAAAAATGGAAGCTATTTCTTTTTATTATTTATTATTTTATATTGTGTCCCAACTGAAAATGGGTATGTTGTAAAAATTAGGGTAGAGATTGTGTGTAAAACATTTGACATAGTGCCTAGCACAAGCTAAGTTTTCAATGAATATGAATTTTTTTCTTGTTGGTGTTGTTGATATTGCAGTGATTGACAGTAACATCGACTCCTCTTAAATCAATGGTATATCCATAATCATCAGAAAATATCGTATTTTATGAGAATGAGCGATATTTTGGCTAAGTTCGGGAAACAAAATGTCTTCATCTTCTGTATGTTCTAATCTTGGTAGACATGGGGAGTTTCAAAGGTCATGCCCTCCCCGGAACCTTCTTCATTATGATGGGTATTTGGTGGACCACCAGGTGCATTCTGAAGTATGCCTGCAAAAAGCACAAACGGACTTCCTACCTTGGCTCCAAAGTATTATTCCATCGAATAGAAATTTTTGAGGGAATCATGATAATCAGCATGGCTATCACTGGTGAGTGGACCATTTCTGTGTTCTGTTTTCTCCTTTTGGGTATTTCTACATGCAAAGAGAAAATTAAATATCAAATCAACAAATCACTAAAATGAATTTTTATTTAAAAATATCTCTGAACACATATTCTAACTGTAATTTTTATCTGATATAATTTGTTAGAAGGTGACACTTCATGTTTATACAAAGGCCTATTCCTTAATGAGTCAGTGATGGATATTAATTTGCCTATGCACTCAAGGTGAATTTCCTTTATCGAATTAGTTGAAACCTTGAAATAATTTTATGTCATTTATTTTGATGCCTGAACGAGGAAACTCTATCAGAAGCCATTTCTCAAAATGATGCCAAAATAATCAAGTTATTGTGGGAAAGCCTCAGTCATAAGTTGTTGCTAATGGACTGTACAGAGGGGTCAGGCTGCAGAAGACCTTGCTTTATGCATTCATCCTTTTTGTGTGATTCCTAAATTGAAAAGGGAAGTTAGGCCAGATGACTTCTAAGGACTTTTCATTGACTATAAGATTCTGTGAAAATTTTCTGTGGTTTTAGAATTCCACTGTAGCCTCTCCTTTGTGAAAGGCAGAACTTTTTCATTTCCCTTTGGATTTCCTCCTGCTTTATTCATGGCAATTGATCTTTGCTGTGGACATGAAATTATAGAGCAACCATTTCCAAAGAGAGGGATTGCCTTGCCAAATTCCATAGATTGACACATAAAGCAGCATTTTAAAGAAAGTTTTACTGTTTCTGTAATTGACTAGACCAGGTGCTATAATCTGTGTTTTCTGTAAACTTGACTTGGGGAAAAGCTGAACTCTAGTATTTTGATTCTGAATCAAGCACAACTCGCTACTTCTTGGCAGCCACCCAGAGATGCAGGATGTGTCAGAAGGAAGTAATCAGCCTCTGTAGGATTTATCTAGTCATTAGATGAAAACGGGAACTAAGACCATCAGTGGAACTGATCAGGGAACTATGAAGAACTGAAATGATCAGCTTCAATGATCTGAAATAACTAGATGTTTGACTAAATTGGTTTATCTTTAACTAAAAGTTGATCATCCAAACCAGTATTTGAACCTCTAAAACCAGCCTAAAGCCCCAGTACTTAGCTGTTAGGGAACAGCCCAGAGAGAAAAATCAGCGTCGTAGAAGGACATTAGATTAGACTAAGGCCTGGGTTAATCCTGCATCTTCCTGCTTTCTTCACGAAGTTGTGGGGAGGGTTACTAAAACTGTGATATGTTCCTTTGCAGGCATGCTTGGAGAGCAGTTTATCACTGGAGGGCCCCACTTGGCCTTATATAACTATAAAGAGGGCCAGTGGGTCGAACTCCTGAGCTGGCACCATTTCACCATGTATTTCTTCTTTGGGCTGCTGGGTGTGACAAACATCTTAGGCTTTTTCATCAATTCACTTCCCGCCTCCTTAACCAAGTTAATGTTGTCAAATGCCTTATTTGTGGAGGGTAAGTATGTGAGTATGTTCCCGTACATTTCACTATCCTTGGACACTTGTCTAGCCCTGTACAATAATATTCCTTTAGTGTCCTGGTGCTGCCTTGATCAATTGGGCCATCTGTTTGGGCCACGGGGAGATAATCAGATGTCCTGCATAGGACGCCAAGGATTTTCCCTCCCTACTGACTCATACAGTAAACTGGGACAAGCAGCATCCTTTGATGTGCTTTATTCACATTTCACATCATTCTTAAATAACCACCTACCGTGGTTATTTATCTCTGGGTTATCCTGGAGAGAATCATGATTTCCATTTTTAACAAGTGAAACTGAGCTCAGGGTAGTAAAGCATGAGTATCCTGAAACAAGGAGACCACTCACAGCAACCTACTAACCTGCTAACTAGCTTTTTTCGTATTGATATAGTGCAACTCCACCATTACATGAGAAGTAGGGTCAAAAAATCAGTCACTAAAAAGAGGAGATCCTATTTTTGAGAGGTTAATGAAAAACACTTTTTTTCCCCCCAAAAGATTTTATTTATTTATTTGACAGAGAGAGACACAGCAAGAGAGGGAACACAAGCAGGGGGAGTGAGAGAGGGAGAAGCAGCCTTCCCGTGGAGAAGGGAGCTCGATGTGGGGCTCGATCCCAGGACCCTGGGATCATGACCTGAGCTGAAAGCAGACGCTTAATGACTGAGCCACCCAGGTGCCCCAATGAAAAACACTTTTTGTTCAGCTGATGTCCCTGTTACTATGTAGGGAAAACAGGTGTTTAGTAATTTGTTTTCATTTATTGTATTTGTAAGGAATAGATTGATGATAGAACTAAAAAAGCCCCAAAGGATCAGGAGGCAGTCATTTCCTAACTGTCCACCTTCCTTCCCCCATCTGAAGATAAGGACTTTTGCCAACCCCATTCTGAGAACAAAGGCTAGCTAAAAGATGGGCATCAACAACCAAGAGCAAGATTCTCAGTATCTCAGGGTGTTAACCATATTTTGAGTGAACATCTTTTCCTCTTCATCTACATGAAAAGGTTGAAGATAAAGCTGGAATCTGCTCATGGGATTAAATAACATAGGTAGTTACTATTTCTTGGGAGCTTCCAGAGCATCTTGTCATAGCCATCAAAGTCTGCTCTTATGATTTGTATATATATATTTCCTTACTCCAATGGACCAAATTCCTTAAAGCAAGGATTTGTCTCATTCATCTGTGTGTTCACCCTAAGTCTTCCTCCCCTGCCCCCATCACACTTACTGTTCATCCTCCTTCATAGAAGATGTTTGAAATATAATTAGTTGAAAATGTCATGATATGTTAGACAAGAAAATAAAGGTTGGGAAAGGGAAAAGGAGAGATAGATCTCTATTCTTAAGAGGTAGTGATAATGGGACGCCTGGGTGGCTCAGTCGGTGAAGCGTCTGCTTTCGGCTCAGGTCATGATCCCAGGGTGCTGGGAGGGAGTTCTGCATCGGGCTCCTTGCTCAGCAGGGAGCCTGCTTCTCCCTCTGCTTGTGCTCACAGTTTCTCTCTCTCTGACAAATAAATAAATAAAATCTTAAAAATAAAAGAGGTAGTGATGACTCCAAAAATGCTAGAAGTTTCCATTATTGTGGGAAGCAGAGAGCACTTGATATTTTGGACAAATTGGTGTGTGTGCGTGTGTGTGTGTGTGTGTGAGTATAAAATTATGTGGGGTGGGGAAGAGAGAGAGAGAGGGAGGGGGAGAGAGGGAGGGAGAGAAATGGTGGATGTCCCTTGGTTTCACTGAAAAAGAGAAACTATTTTTTCCCTCTCTATCAGCTTTTATCATGTATAATCACACTCATGGCCGGGAAATGCTGGACATCTTTGTGCACCAGCTGCTGGTCTTGGCCATCTTTGTGACAGGCCTGATTGCCTTCTTGGAGCTCTTCATACGGACCAATATCACTGTGGAACTTCTTCGGACAAGCTTTATCCTGCTTCAGGGGAGCTGGTTTTGGCAGGTGAGTCGAGGCCTCCGGTGAAGGGATCTGGTGTCTCCATCTGTATCCATCTCTCTCTGGTGGGGTATTTTGATCCAGAATCGGACACTTCCTTCTGATGTGCTGCCTGTAGAGAGAATGTGGGTCTTTTAGAGGTGATGTTGCTTTGAGTAGCCCAGAGGCCCTAGGGGGAGTACTGACAGAGCAGCCGGGAAGGAAGTGGGGTGTGTTCATCTTCCTCACACACCTGAATATCCATAATGTAGGAATTCTGAGCCATTGTTTTTGCTAAAGCAGCTTACATCCTAATGAGTGATGAGCTTGAGAAATATATGAAAGGCAGGAAGGAGAGGAAATGATTAATTATTGAGAAACAACAATGTGCCAGCCACTCTACAGGACTATTACATATATGTTGTTTCATTATGTCCCCACAGCGACTTGGAAGTTAGGTATTATCATCCCAAATTTACTGATAGGACTCACCGAGACCCCGTGACTATCCCAGACTCACACAGTAATGGAACTAGAATCTAAATGTGGGTCTGTCTGACCCCAAGTCCCAGGCTCTTTCCATTTTACTCTCTTGACTACCTAACCTTGGCATGTTGTCAAAAACATGTATTCCAATTAGTGAACTTAGATTTTATAGAGACTGGTAAATCATACTCTAATATGCACATATAGATGTAAGGAAAGTCTGAGATGAAAGGTGAATGTGGTTTAATAGGGGATGACTTCTTAGAGGAGATGTTTCATCACCAGAAAGCAGGAACTTGGGATGAGGTTATTGCAGAGATTTGCAAACTAATTAGTGTTCCATTAATAATTAATGATTAAGAATCTGAGGGAAGAAACATGGGCAGTCACAACTGAGAATAGGTTCACCTAATGTTGTCCCCTCTGGCAGAGAAATAATGTTTTTATATTTTACCAAAAGCTTTTCTAGGAAAGAGCTATGAGGTTAAAAATCTTTGGGCATTGGGGCGCCTGGGTGGCTCAGTCGTTAAGCGTCTGCCTTCAGCTCAGGTCATGATCCCGGGGTCCTGGGATCGAGCCCCGCATCCGGCTCCCTGCTCCGTGGGAAGCCTGCTTCCTCCCTCTCCCACTCCCCCTGCTTGTGTTCCCTCTCTCGCTGTGTCTCTCTCTGTCAAATAAATAAATAAAGTCTAAAAAAAAATAAAAAAATCTTTGGGCATAAATCTGTGACTATTTAAAAATCTTTTCCATCTATCAGTATGTCTAGACTAGTTTCTTTTTTTACCTGGTGGCTAGACTAAATAACGTTTGGAGGCTTAAAGAAAAATGAACATTTAATACCAATGCAAACACACACACTGGCAGGAAATGAAGGTTTAACTGTAGTACGTCTCTCCACCCTCAGATCCTCTGAAACAAAAATGTCTAGAGACGTAGGTGAATTTATTCTGCTTTTATTTTGGTGCTATGTGTGGTATATGAATGTTTATGGTCAAAACTCTGTCTTAAGTTGATAATATGACATTGTGATTTGCTTTTCATCATATTTTTTCTCTTTCTACTTGTACATAGGTGGTTAATACTAGTGCATAAAGAACATGTAGACAGATTAGCACACCCAGACTCTTGGAACTATAAATAAGGAGATGCAAAATGAATGAGGCAAATGTTCAGATTGGCCTTTTTTTTAATAACTCATATGAAAAGGATGGGGAATGAATGGGGGAAGGGGCAGATGGAGAGGGAGAGAGAGAATCTCAAGCAGATTCCCCATTGAGCACAGAGCCCCCACTGGGAGTGGTAGGGGGAATGGAAGGCTCAGTCTTACAGCCCTGGGATCATGACCTGAGCCGAAATCAAGAGTCAGATGCTTAACCGACTGAGCCACCCAGTCACCCCTGTAGGAGAATATTTCTAAAGCTCACTTCCGTACTTTGTCATTTCCAAGTTCCCTCCTATCATTGTCAGAGTTGAGGCAGTGACCATCAGGGGAGGAGGAAGACACTTCTGCTGTCTTTGCTTCCCATTACTTTGAACAGTAACTTCTGCTTCATCACCCTCCCCAACTAATTGCTCCCAGGACTCCTCCCATGACTTCCCAGATTGTTGAGCCCAAAGTAAAGTGCAGCCTTATTTTGTCTTTATGAAAAATGAAAGGTCATTCAAAGATGTCAAAAAGACCCAACTAAGCAGGAGTGGTCTGAGTCTGATATGGTAGATCAAATACTTGTTTAAGGCTGATAGTGTTGAAATAAGTGATTGGAGAATAAGACATAAAACACTAGGAAATTCAAACTCTAACCTATAGGAAATGAGCCCCTGGCTTGCTGTATATTAGAGAAGATAATTATTTACATTTTAAATGTGATATTAATGAAGCTTAAACTATTCAAAAACAGATGTTCAGGAGTGGCATAGAAGATACAGCAAGAAAAATTCTTTTTCAGACCTTTTGTTTGGTTGGAATTTTATATTAGGAAGCAAATTAGAATAACTAATGAGAGAGTAGTGGCTGATTCTATATATCAAGGAGGATTTAATGAGTTGTGGCATTTTCTGGCCCTTGGTTTTCAGCTTTCCTAATTCACTTGCTTTTATCCTGAAATGACTTGGAATGTTTCTATGACTTTCACAATAATCACATCAGTTAACGCTATTCATAGGCTTCACAGTGGCCTTCAGTTAAGTCTTTAGCTTTCAGTGTCAGGCTCTGAGGGTCTCAAGGAGATGAGTAGTGAGAGGTGCTCAAAGTTTCTCTTTTCTTGGTATAAAACAGTAAACATTTGGTTGGTAGAATTGGTAACGACCAATGAAGGTGACTTAAGAGATATTTTATTTTGGAAGCTCCAGAAAACGATTGTGACTATGGCATGGAGGGAGAAGTCCATGAGACTCTAGGTCAGGCAGACCTGGATCTGAAGTCTGGTTCTACCATATTAATCACATGAGTGTGCACTATTTATTCTATGCTTTACCAGGAGAAGGTAAAGTTAAGTTGGGATTTGAAAGATGGATAAGAGCCACCAAAGTGTCCAGACTTGAGGTTTAGGATAAGTGATATTCCTTGCTTATTTTGGTCTTAGCTCTTGTATTAGTATCCTAGGGCTCCAATAACAAAGTCCCACAAATTGGATGACTTAAAACAACGGAAATTTATTCTTTCGCTGTTTTGGAGGCCAGAAGTCAAGAAATCAAGGTGTCAGCATGTTGGTTCCTTCCTGGGGGCCCAAAAGGAGAATCTGTCCTATGCCACTCTCCTAGAGAGCTGCCAGCAATCCTTGACATTCCTTGGCTTATGGCAGCATAACCTCAACCTCTGCCTCCATAGGTATACCCATGGGTTTCTGTGTACCTGTGTCTTCACATGGCCTTCCATAATAAGGACACTAGTCATTGGATTTGGGCCAGGTCTAATCCACTATGACCTCATCTCAAGTTGATGACATCAGCAAAGACATTATTTCCAAATAAGGTCACATTCACAGGCACCAAGTGTTAGGACATCAACATATCCTTTTGGAGGTACACATTATAAGCCACAACTGCTAACTCTTACCTCTGGGAGCTGTAGCAAAACACTGCCCAAGCAAGGATAGATGGGTGGGTGACATTGGAAGGACATTGGTGGGACCAATAGGTAGGAACTGGGGAGCTGGTCCATAATTTATTACACTCAACTCTCCCTAAAAATACTCAGTTGACACAAGTTTTTTGGTCATCTTTCATGAGTTGCTGCAAAAGGAGGGCCTGAGAAGAATGGGGATAATGGTATCTTATTCTTGGCGTTATTATGAGGACTGAGAATTATGGTGAAGTTTATGTGCATGAATGAGGTTAAGGGGCCCCACACCTAGTGATACATCTACTGGGTGGTACAAATGGTAGTTCTCTTCCCAAACAAAGGGAATTCTTTAGAACAGGAAGTGGGAACAGAATTATGGTGAAGTTTATGTGCATGAATGAAGTTAAGGGGCCCCACACCTAGTGATACATCTACTGGGTGGTACAAATGGTAGTTCTCTTCCCAAACAAAGGGAATTCTTTAGAATGGGAAATGGGAACAAGTGATTAAGGCCCAAGTCTTGTTTTTTCCTAATTTACTCAGGTTATTAGAAACTTCAAACAGAAATTGTATTAAAGTTTCACTCAATACTATGGACTAAATGCTTTTTTTTGTTCCTGTTAGATTTCATTTATTAGATGTATGATTCCAGGCAAATTATGAAATCACCCAATTTTCTCATCCAGAGATGAAGACAATAATATGTTAAAATGGGATAATAATACAATAAAATAGGATAATAATACATCATTTAAGGGCCATTGTAAGGAACACTCCCAAGCACTGTAACTGACATATAATTAGCTAATATATGGTGGACATTCATACATTGTCCATGTAATTATCTTGGTATTGTATTTCATTTAGTTCTAGAGACCCGACATATGTCCATCCCCCATACCCCTATCTGTCCATCATTCATCCATCTCTCTCTCTCTTTCTCTATCTTTTTGTTTTTTGTTAGGATAAAATTTACATAACACAATTGACTGTTTTAGAGTATATAATTCAGTGCCATTTAAATACACTCACTATATTGTGCAACTATCACTGCTATTCAGTTCTGAAACATTTGCATCACCCCAGAAGGAAACCCTGGAACCCTGATGCAATCATTCTCTTTTACTCTCCTCTTAGCCCCTGATAACCACTGATTTGTTTTTGTTTCTATGAATTTAGTTATTCTGAATATTTCATGTAAACAGAATCATACAATATGGGATCTTTTGTGTCTGCCCTCTTTCCCTTAACATAATGTTTATAAGATTCATCTATATTGTGTCATGCGTTAGTGCGTCATGACTTTATGGTTCAATAGTCCATTGTACTGATATACCACATTTTGTTTATTCATCATCAGTTGACAGACATTGGGTTGTTTTCAACTTTTGACTATTGTGAATAATGCTGCTATGAACATTTGTTTACAAGTTTTTGTTTGAATACTTGTTTTCAGTTCTTTTGGGTACACACTTAGGAATGACATTGCCAGGTCATGTGATAATTAAAGCTGCATTTAACTTTTTGAAAAACTGTCTAATTGTTTTCCACAGTGACTGCACCATCTTATATTCCTACCAGCAATTTACAAGGATTCCAATTTCTCTTTATTCTTTTTTTTTTTTAAAGATTTTATTTACTTATTTGACAGAGAGAGACACAGCGAGAGAGAGAGAACACAAGCAGGGGGAGTGGGAGAGGGAGAAGCAGGCTTCCCGCCGAGCAGGGAGCCTGATGCGGGGCTCCATCCCAGGAGCCCGGGATCATGACCTGAGCTGAAGGCAGACGCTTAACGACTGAGCCACCCAGGCGCCCTCAATTTCTCTTTATTCTTACTAACACTTGTTATTTATTATTTTTACCATCCTAGTGGGTGTGAAGTGGTATCTCCTATGGTTTGGATTTGCATTTCTCTAACAAGTAGCAATGTTCTTCATCTTTTCATGAGTTTATTTACCATTTGTATACCATCTTTGGAGGAATATCTCTTCAACTCCGTTGTTCATTTAAAAATAGTTATTTTTTGTCTTTTAGTTGTTGAGTTTTAGGATGTCTTTATACATTCTAGATATTAATTCCTTATCAGATATATGATACAGCAGTATTTTATCCCATGCTGTGGGCTCCCTTTTCATTTTCTTGATAGTGTCCTTTGATGTACAAAAGTTTTTAATTTTGGTGAAGTCCAATTTACCTATTTTTTTTTTTTTTTTGGTTGATTGTACTTTTGGTGTAGTATCTAAGAAGTCATCCCCAATCCCAGGGCATGAAGCTTTCCCCCCATGTCTTCTTCTAAGAGTATTATGGTTTTAGTTTTTATATTTAGTTTTTGATCCTTTTTTTTTTGCCTTAACTATTTTTTAATAATCTTACAAAACTTCTCTGAACTCAAAGGAGCAACAACTGTCCAAAGAATCACCCTGTAGATAGTCTCATCACTAGCATTTTAAACATTTCAAGAGTATCGGCAAGATGCCTCTAAGATCTATGATCATTCATTGACTTAGCCTAGTTGTTCCCAGTTCTTTGTTTTGGAATTTACCTCCCCAGAAGATAAACCATTTTTATTTTTACACAACTGTACTAAAGTGTAATTTCTATACCATAAAATTCCCCAGTTTAAATGTATAATTCACTGATTTTTAGTAAATATACAGAGTTGTACACCATCATCCCAAAAAGATCACTCAGGCCAGTTATCGTCACCCCCTATTCCCACCTCCAGCCCCGAGCAACCACTAGTCCCTTTTCTATGTCTAGCGATTTGCTTTTTCTGAACATTTCACATAAATGGAATGGTGCAAAAGTAGTCTTGTACATCTGACTTGTTTCATTTAGCATAATGATTCTGAGTCCATGCCACAGAATGTGTCAGTGGTTTCTTCTTTTTATTGTTGTAGCATTCCAGTGTATGGATATGGCACATTTTCATTTTCCACTCGCCAGGTTATAAACAGTTGGGTTATTTCCATTTGGGAGGTATCATGGATAATGCTGCTTTAAATGAACATTCACGTTATGAGGCTTTATGTGGGTGTATGTTTTCATTTCTTTTTGGTGATAACTAGGGAGTAGAAGTGTTGAGTAATATGTTTTTTTTTCTTTTTCTTTTTTTTTAAATTAACATATAATGTATTATTTGTTTCAGGGGTACAGTTCTGTGATTCATCAGTCTTACACAATTCACAGCACTTGCCATATTATATACCCTCCCCAATGCCCATCACCCAGCCACCCCATCCCTCCATTTCTGTAAAAAAAAGACCATTGGGATTTTTTTAAAATTTAAATTCAATTAGCCAGCATGTACTACATCATTAGTTTTTAATTTATTTATCATTTATTTTTTAAATTTTTTAAAGATTTTATTTATTTATTTGACAGAGAGAGACACAGCGAGAGAGGGAACACAAGCAGGGGAAATGGGAGAGGGAGAAGCAGGCTTCCCACCGAGCATGGAGCCAGATGTGGGGCTTGATCCCAGGACCCTGGGATCATGACCTGAGCTGAAGGCAGACGCTTAACGCCTGAGCCACCCAGGCGCCCCGTACATCATTAGTTTTTGATGTAGTGTTCAATGATTCATCAGTTGCATATAACACCCAGTGCTCATCACATCATGTGCCCTCTGAGGGTTGTGGAAGGGGAGGTGGGTGGGGGGGGTAACTGGGTGATGGGCATTAAGGAGACCATTGGGATTTTGATAGAGATTGCACTGAATTTGTAGATTTCTTTGGGTGTTATTGCCATCTTAACAATATTAAATCATCCAGTCCATGAACATGAGATGTATTTCCATTTATTTAGGTCTTTGATTTCTTTCAACAATGTTTTATAGTTTTCAGTGTACAAGTCTTGAACCTCTTTGATTAAATTTATTTCTAAGTATTTTATTTTTCTCAATGCTATTGTAAGTAACATTGTTTTCTTAATTCAATTTTTGGATTGTTCATTGCATGAATATAGAAATACAACTGAATTTGTTTGTTGATTTTGTGTCCTGCAAGTATGCTGAATTCATTGATTAGCTCTGATAGTTTTTTTGTGTGTGGATTCTTTAGGATTTTCTATATATAAGATTATATAACCTGTGAATATGGATAGTTTCACTTTTTCCTTTAGAATCTGGATACCCTTTATTTATTTTACTTGACTAATTTTTGGCTAGAAATTCCTAGTGAATAGAAGTGGTGAATCCAACACCCTCCTCTTGTTGCTGATCTTAGGGGCAAAGCTTTCAGTCTTTGATCATTGAATATAATGTTAGCTTTGAACATTTACTTATTTTAAAACCTCTTTGTACTCTAATTTTGAAATAACTGTGTGAAACTGCACAACTTAGAAACCTGGCACATTCTCTGAAAGTCCACTAATCCACAGAGATGATTCCTATTCATATTTTGAAAATTGCTCTTCAACATCCTTAACATTTTTTTTTTTAAATATGACCTGGTAGATACTATCTGATGTCTTATCTGTAGCATCTCAGATAATTGGAGTTACTTTGGTTAAGATTAATCTTAGAACCAAACATTTTGAAATGTACTATCTTTGGGAATGTGGCTGATTATTTTAATATGTGCTTTTTGTTTGAAATTACAGATTGGTTTTGTCCTTTATCCCCCCAGTGGAGGTCCTGCATGGGATGCAATGGATCATGACAACATTATGTTTCTTACCATATGCTTTTGTTGGCATTATGCATTAAGCATTATCGTCGTTGGAATGATTTATGCCTTTGTCACTTGGTAAGTTAGTGATTTTTTGTTCACGTAAGTTCTCTTCCTTGGTATATGATCATCAAGACTCGAAAGTATTGAACTTGAAATTCAAAGGGGAACTTCATTCCTTAGTATTCCACAAGACAGTGTAATGTAGCAGAAGATGATCTGCAAACCCAGAAAGTCCCCCTCGAAAGAATAAATGCTGGCTTACAGTTAGACTCCCTCAACAGTGTCTCAGCTCTGTCTCTAACCTGCGTGTCATCCTTCAACACCCTTTTCTGTGCCTTCATGTCCTTGCATATGCTGTCTCCTTTTCCAGATGGTCCTCTCCGTACTCGCAGTGAGCCCTCCATTTGCCCACATGTACATCAGTCATAGCAATTCACAAGTTTGCTGTCATTTTTTGACCAATATTTATATCTCCCATCAAATTTGAGTACATGATTAATTTGACATTTACTCTAACATTTCTAAAAGTAAGATTCAGTTGAAAAATCATGTTTTTAGACCCTGATACAATGTTTCACAGGATTGATAAAACACATATTCCTAGTTCTGCTACCTATCAGCTGTATGACTTTGGGCAAATTATGTAACCACATTAAGTCTCGGTTTTATTGTTTACAAAATGGGAATAATAATAGTACCTAAATGAGATACGTATTTAAACTGTTTAGGACATAATAAGGGCACAGCGGAAGTTCTCATTGTTCTTGTTCTTGTTGTTAGTTTTCTTGTTCTCCTCCTCCTCCTTCTGTATCACAAAATGCATAAGGTATAGACCCTAAGGGGGAGAGATAGACAATTGAAATAGAATGCAATAGGTGGAAATAGTAGAACAAAGCACTATTGGAGCCCAGAGGAGGCTTCCTCGCAGTTAAGAATTAAGCTTCAGCTTGAAGGATAAAAAGGAATAGAAAGAACTGAACATGGTTCCTGTCTTTAAGGTAGCTAATACCAAACCACAGTGGGTCTGGCTGGTCCCAACTACTAGGCATGCAGGCTCCCACACTTAATTCTTCAGACTTCAGTACTGACCTAAATGTTCTATATCTGCAGTCTTCATTTTGGTGGCCATGAGCTACTTGAATATATGGTTATTGAGCACTTGACATGTGCCTGGTGCCACAATAATTTTAATTAATTTAAATATCTGTAAATGCATAGTGACTACCATATTGGGCAGTATGCATCTAGTAGGTTCTCTAGATTCCTAAAATGTGGTAGCTGCTTCTAGGCCCAGTGGGGTCTCATCCTCTTCAAAAACTAGCTTTCTACTCTTCTCTCTTGCTTTGTGCTTCTTTGAGCTTCACTGCTGAAGCAGCTTTGGTGCTGGGTCTCTAAGTAAGAGAACAATTTCCTTGTCTAGCTCCTGATGTCTCTGCTAGGCTTTGAGTCAGCTTACTTTGATCTGTAGTTACCTCCTTCTAGGGGTCTAAGTGCTTTGGGTACTGGGAGATTCTAGCTTCTCATTGACTGATTTCTATTAGTCCTATTTCATTCCTCCAAAGCATGCACATGGCTGTTAAAACTGGCTCTGCCATTGAGTGAAACCTGGCTTCTTCCTCTGTTGTTCTAGGCTGACATCTGGGCCTCACCTCCTTAGGGGCTGGGCAGCCTCCAAGAATAATGGCAACATTCAAGGAGCCTCTCTAGCTCATGTGAGCTCCCTTCCAGAGCCAAAAGAAGACTACTGTCTCTTCCTGTTTCAAAAAGCTTCAGACCTCTCTTACCCACTTACAGTTTTCTAGAAACCAGAAAGTCCGTGTTGTCTTTTTCAACCTTTACCTTTTGGGCCACTTAGTCCACTCTACCTGACATATCCAAATTAAATGCCCATCTCTTCTGTGAAAACTTCTGTGACAATTCTAGCCCTCATCTCCCTTCAGGAGTTTGTGTAGTACTTTAGTCACTACTACCCATTTTAGCAATTGTGATCTATCTTTACTATTAGCTTACATCAGCCTGATCTGCTAGCTAGATTGTATCACCCTGAGGAAAATACCCTTTTTATATTTGTACAGCTCCTGGCATGCCGTCAAACATATAGGGGGTACTCAATAAACACTTATTTGCTGTTTTAATAGATCTGCTTCAGAGTTACGTGAATATGGGCTTTGTTTGTTTGGAAATCATGTTTCAGATGCTTTTCAGTCTTGCTCTCATAGTGCTCTTGGAAATATAAGAACAAGAGCTCATGATGTGAGGTATGTTGATATAAACTTAAGCAATAGCTTAAAAAATGTCATGAAGATTCAGTACTGACTTTCAGTGAGGTCACATGGCAGGCTAATTCAGTTCTATAATCATAAGGAGTTTTGACAATCTATTTTTCAGGGTTTGACCGGAGTAGTTTGTAATTCAGTCACAGGTGATGGATTTTCAGGACATTATATCAGAATTTGTTTGACAAAGTGCAAAGATCCATGGAAACAAAACTGGGTTATGGAACCACAACCCCCCAAATCTTAGAAAAGTGAAGTGCTACTTCCCAGCTTTCCAGAATAATGGTGCAAAGATTGCCTCATTCAGCCTCATAACTTTCCAGAATAATGGTTCAAAGATTGCCTCATTCAGACCCATACCTGCAGTTCTGAAATGACAATTCATAGGAGAGACTTAGCTGTTTGGAAATCTTATTAGATGTTCTACTGTATTATATATTTAAATGCCACTATTCATAGAATTATTTCAAAAGCTCCTCTCTATGGGTCGAGAAATATGTCCACTTTCAGGTTGGTTTCCTAAGCAATAATTCGGGTGACTCATTTCGAAGAACAAAATAGAGATGACCAAATTCTAGGAAAATGTTGGTTTGCCTTCTGGAAGTGTGATTTCCAGATGCACTGTGGAAGTACACCCAGAGTCTCAGTTCTGCTCTTTTTCTTATTAATCGAAGAAAATCTATGAGAGCAAAACCTCAGACACATCCTAACCTTAGTATCCTGGACAAACATCATTCCAGGAACTAGCAATTATTTGCACTTCTTTATCATTCCAGCCTTTAATTTGTCTCCAGCGCCCATTTATGCATGTGCCAATACCTAGGGCTACAGGGTGCAGATAGAGCCTGAACACGCCTCAGCTTTGTAGCTTGTAGCAACAGCAGACACAGCCCAGGAAAGAGGAGTGGGGAACAGGAAGAATCACTAGGGTCTGGGTTAACAATTAATTTGTAATAAGTAGCCATGGGTTTGTTTTATTTTCCACATGAGCCATCAAGAATAAATCTAACTAATGAATTAACAGTTAATCCATTTCATTTAGCATGTATTGAGGTTGTGCAATGTGGAGATAATTGTGTGGATCTAAAATATGACACAAACACTGTCCCAGCCTTTAAATTATTTAAGCCTATTAGTCTTTTGCAAGAATAGTGCCTTGAAGAGCTGAGGACATTGGGAGCAACATCAATAGTCAATTAATAATCAAGGCAAATTATTTTGATTGGTTTCCTTGATCTTAATGAGTCAATAGTTGTTATTGGTACTACTCAGCTGTTGTATATTGGAGGAGTTAATGCTGAGTTGAAAGTGACTGAAGAATTAACCTCTATGAATAAGTGAGTATTATGGACTCCTGGCAGATTGCTCTGAAGGACATTGATTCATCAGATGTGTGTTGAGCCACTATTATGCACCAGATGCTGTTCTAGGCTCTGGCTAGCGTTAGGCACTAAATAAGATAAGGTCTTTGCTCTTATGAAGCTTTTATTCTAGTAGGATCCAGAGCACAAGTAAAGTCGTTGCATATTTATGGGGGCAGGCCTTCACTGGAAGAAGAAGAGAGGCAGAAAATAGGGGATGCAGATAGGCTGGTGACGTTTTTCACAAAATGAGAATGATTTTGATGATTTGGTGTATCAAATTTGTTTGTGTATTCCTATGTATTTTTGGAATTTAACTATGTTTTATCGATATAGTCATAGTACAATGTCTTTATGAATAATCATGCTTCGCTTAGTTTTTATTACATCGGGGAAGTGGAGAGTTCTGCTGAGTTTCTGCCACTAAGAACCTTCATATCTTCCAGCATCAAAAATTATATTGCTGCTTACCCCCAGACCTACAGATCTCTTAATCTATGAAAACAATCACAAAGGTGGAGGGCACTTCTTCCAACTTCTTATTTCATCATGGATTACTACATGGACCATCACATGCAGTTGAGCAGTTCATGGCCTGCACAAAAGCACCCCTCTGAAGGCACAAGTTGGGACAGACTTGACATGGGGCTTGACACTGGGAAGGAGATGCCTTTATGCACTTCCTTTACAAGAGAGGGCTCCTTTTTGCAATACATAGCTAGGTGTATACTTGATCGAAAAGCTCTAGGCTGAGCTTGGTTTCATCTGGGCTTGCTGCAGCCCAGAGATTCTCTTGTTTGTTTTAGAAATGATCAAAGCTATGAATAATTAGGCATTCTCTGATGCCTAATTAAACAATCATGTTATACATTTAAAAACTGTATTGTATCTGTTTACTTATACCCTGCTTTAATCCACAAAAATTTTTCAGGTAGCTCCAAAGCCAAATAAAAGTGATTTTCTTTTTTTGGATTGCCTCTCCCATTTGCACAGATAATTCGGAGTTTGTTGAATTATAGATACACGTTGTTCTGGGTTTTTATTAAACAGCATAACGTGAGATGCCTTTCATTCTCCTCAGGTTGGTTAAATCTCGACTTCAGAGGTTCTGCCCCTCAGAAGTTGGACTCCTGAAAAATGCTGAACGAGAACAAGAATCAGAAGAAGAGATGTGATTTTGATGGGCATTTAGTCTTTCTGGATGAACTTCTCTTTTTTAGATTATTTTTGTTCATGGCTTTGTTTTTTGACCTTTTGCTTGGAGAACAGGCGGCTGAGGATGATTCTTGGTATATTGTTTGTATTTCCAATTTGGTTAAAGTATTTGAATTCAAATATGTTATTTTTAGGTTTGTAAGTACTTCGGGTGATAAATGCATTTTGCACATCAGTCATGGTATTTGGGGCCTGGAGCAACTATTCCCAGATCATCTAAAGTTAACATCCATGCTAAGAAAAATGTTTTATTTGCCTTACATATGCTCAAGGTGTCTGGGCTTACTACCATTTGTAACTCATTAAACGTTGAATTACACTTGTTTATCTTGTTGCTGCAATGAGAAATAAATGAATGCAGGAACCTTGGTACAGACACCTCAAGTCTTTTTTTTGTTTTGTTTTGTTTTGTTTTACATTCTCATTATTTGTTTTCTTTCTTTATTTAAATTCAATTAGCCAACATATAGTACATCATTAGTTTCAGATGTAGAGTTCAATAATGCATCAATTGCATATATCACCCAGTGCTCATCACATCACATGCCCTCCTTAACGCCCATCACCCAGTTATCCCATCCCCTCACCTAACCCCCCTCCAGCAACCCTCAGTTTGTTTCCTGTAGTTAAGAGTCTCTCATGGGTTGTCTTCCTCTCTGATGACTTCCGATTCAGTTTTCCCTCCCTTCCCCTATGATCCTCTGCACTGTTTTTAGCAGCAATGTCCACAATAGCCAAACTGTGGAAAGAGCCAAGATGTCCATCAACAAATGAATGGATAAAGATGTGGTCCATATATACAATGGAATATTACTCAGCCATCAGGAAGAATGAATACTTACCGTTTACATCAATGTGGATGGAACTGGAGGGTATTATGCTAAGTGAAATAAGTCAATCAGAGAAAGACAATTATCATATGGTTTCACTCGTATGTTTTTTTAATTCAACTGCACCTCACCCTTGCATCATGAAGAAGGAGCAGTGTGACAAATTCCTTTTTGTGAGACATCTCCTTCTGTAGTACCTGAGTTGTCCCCTGAGATAAGTAAGCCAGCAGTCGTCCTGAGTTGTGCAGTCTTTTAGAGAAGACAAAGAAATGATCCCTAGGACACACGGATGCAAAGCCATGAGAGATTAGGAAGGGGGAGTTATGATGTCATCTAGAGTAAAAAGTCATCACCATACCATAGCATGGCCACCATACTGTCCCCTCTTTCACCATACTGCTGAAATAATGGAGGGGTTAAAATAAGGAAAAGTATTTTACAGATTACCTGGGTAAAAAGTCAGAGCTCTTACCTAGTCTTGCACTAAGTAGCCCTTAGTGGGGAGTCAAGAAATCTTATTTCTAATTCTGGCTCTACAATTAACCAGCCTCTAGGACTTTAGCAATCACCGTGTCCTCTCTAAAGTAAGGGAATTGAACTGGATGAGGCAGTTTCTGGCTGTCACATTTTATGAATCTAGAATCTCTGAGACAAAGTGAAGCCAATGACAGCGCATTCAGTACCATGTTAGTTGGAAGGGCCTGTCTCTGTTGTGACAGCAAAGGTAAGGAGGGCTTCAGGAATCCTCGAGGGCTGATTGACTATAGAAGAAAGGAAGCAGCCTCATGGGCAGCTGGAGGTGAAATGTGGGCAATTAAATCTTGAAGCTCCATGGCATCCCAGGAGCACTGACAAATCCAGAAGCCTAACCCAGTCTGGTATTATCACAGTGATACTGGAGAGGGAAGTGAGTAGATTCTTTAGGCCAAAGAACTAGACACATTCATTATATATATATATATAGGTTGGAAAGAACTGATGTGGGTGCCTAAAGGCCTCTATGTGAATAATACGATAAACCTGAGTGCACTTCTGGCATATGAAATGCCCACATGCATGTGATGTTGGCATGGATTATGGCATTCTGCCCCATGCATGTCCCATATCTTTTCTAGTCCAGCAAGCTTCTATAACTTTGGCAAGTTTGTGTTTCAAAAGAGTGAGCTGTCAGCTGCAGTTCATGAAAATGGCATTGCTGGTACATAGGCCTGAGACTCAGAAAAATAAGCCGAAACCAGATCAGGGTTGGAATTTTGAAAACTGATAGAAGTGCAAATATTCTAGCAGTCTTTATGAGAAAGCAGAAACATCCGTTCCTCCAGTCTCTGGATGGAAAGAATTCAAGTGAGATGCAACCCAGTGAGTTCTCAGTGAAGGAACATTTGGTTCAGGTCTAAAGCCACAGTCTGAGGCTTTCTGCCTCTAGTCCCTGAAATGAACAATACATTTGAACACCATTGTAACTTTATGGAAGCCTTCACGAAGGAAGAAGTGGGAGAGGGTGCCCTTCCTTATTTTTATTTGTATTTTATCTCAACTCTTCCAAAACCCTGGGGTCTCAATTCCTGAGCCTTTGTCAAACTTCCTTTTGTGGGTATCTCATGCTTCATTTGCCATAAACAAAGTAAAGAAACTCTTACATAACTCAGCCCAATATCAACATTGGATGTTGATGGGACACCAACTCTTCAGTGATTTCTGTAACTTCCCGTCTCCTTTGCTTGGGAAATGCGCAGAGCAGCCTCAACTACATTACCTTCCAGCTCATTATTGAAATGGGAGGTTGGTTCATGACCATTATCCCTGAGATCATGACCTGAGCTGAAATCAAGAGTTGGAGACCCACCCTGACTGAGCCACCCAGGGGCCCCGAAGCATAAGGTGCTCTTAAATGTTCTGCTACAGTGCGTAAACTTAGTGAGATTTCAACTTAAAATCACAAGCCTAAATCTGTTACTCAATTAAACATTTATAAATTAGACCTACAAGACTAATCAGTATAGACAAAATTATTTTCAAAATTATAGATATCTAAAATGTGACACATGTATAATTTCTTAACACAAAAATATCATTATGAGTTTGATTCTCTTAAACATTACTGTACTTAATTTTAAGTCTTCCCATGATAAAATAAGCTTACTGTTAAGGAATTGATTTATTTATGACAGGCAATGTTGGGAAATACCTAGTCTGCTCCTTGAGCTTTTGGACCCAGATACTGAATGGAACAGGATTCTTGACAGTGACCCTAATGGCACATGCTGAATCCTGTTATTTATGGTCACTCTATCAGACTCTCCACACAAGCTGTCTCCTGGCCTTTTAGAGCACAGGGAAGGCACCATCCTGAGCTGGAGTCCCCCTTAAAATTATCTGTCTTTTCCACGTACTCATGAAAATCTGCCGCCCTCGGCTAGGCTGTTATGCCATTTGATGGAATTTCATTATTCTTTAGCTCTAAAGATATTTAAATATATTTCCTTCTAAGTATAAAGACTTCTGGACTTGATGTTATCCTGCACTTTTTTTTTTCATATATTTCCTATTGGATAAGACTCCTCAATTTTTACAGATATTAAGGTGATAGTCTAATGAATTCTAGGTCACTTTCTTTTAAAGGTAATTCCAAGTAACAGCTCTGAGATTAGATGTCAGTATTTGTGTTTGAAGCTAAAATACATACAGGTTCCAAAATATATAGACATAAGCTCACCCGACTATACAAGGGGCTTAGCAATTTAAAATGGAACTCTCTCTTCTGGTCAGAAACTGCCCCGGGTTCCTTTGCCTCTTAGATCCATTCTAAGTTAATTAGCATTATGTTTTAATTAAATTTTTAATGACTATTTAATCATTTCACTTGAGCGTAATTCACTATGCAGTTATGCTGTCATACTGTCCAATAAAACCCTTGGACCAGTCAGGTTGACTTGTTTTCTGTTCCCCCAAATATGTTTAATTTCCATATCTATGTTGTATTAACTACCCTACCTCCCTGGCTCCTTGCAGCCTAACTTCTGGAGATTCTTTAAGGCTCAGTTCAAAACCTTTCTTTTCTACTACTTCATCCCACTCTTCTCTGCCTGTGAACTCACACAGCACTAAATCCAGAGTGACATCGGATCATATGCCATCCAGTCCTGTAGTTACCTTTTTTTAAAAGATTTTATTTATTTATTTGACACAGAGAGAGAGACAGAGAGAGAGGGAGAGACGGAGAGAGAGCGAGCACAAGTAGGGGAAGCAGCAGAGGGAGAAGCAGGCTTCCGCCGAGCAGGGAGCCTGATGCAGCATTCAATTCCAGGTCCCTGGGATCATGATCTGAGCCGAAGGCAGATGCTTAACTGACTGAGCCACCCAGGCACCCCAGCTGTAGTTATCTTTATACATAAATTCTTCCTTCTTAGTATTTACAATCCCCTAAACACAATTAATTTTTTGTGTATTTAAAAACATGGACATTTATTATTATAAAATCAATTGGCTTAATAAAAAAGCATTATATTTCTATTGGGACATCATCAATATAAAAAGCTTTTGCACAGCAAAAGAAACAGTCAACAAAACCAAAAGACAACTGACAGAATGCGAGAAGATATTTGCAAATGACATATCAGATAAAGGGCTAGTATCCAAAATCTATAAAGAACTTATCAAACTCAACACCCCAGAACAAATGATCCAATCAAGAAATGGGCAGAAGACATGAACAGACATTTTTCCAAAGAAGACATCCAAATGGCCAACAGACACATGAAAAAGTGCTCAATGTGTCTCGGCATCAGGGAAATCCAAATCAAAACCTCAATGAGAGACCACCTCACACCAGTCAGAATGGCTAAAATTAACAAGTCAGGTAATGACAGATGTTGGTGGGGATGCGGAGAAAGGGGAACCCTCCTACACTGTTGGTGGGAATGCAAGCTGGTGCAACCACTCTGGAAAACAGTATGGAGGTTCCTCAAAAAGTTGAAAATAGAGCTAACGTACGACCCAGCAATTGCACTACTGGGTATTTACCCCAAAGATACAAATGTAGGGATCCAAAGGGGTACGTGCACCCCAATGTTTATAGCAGTGGTGTCCACAATAGCCAAACTATGGAAAGAGCCAAGATGTCCATCAACAGATGAATGGATAAAGAAGATGTGGTG